GCTCTGGAAGACTTCCGAATTTTGACATAGAGTTTCTTTCCAACAATAACGCGACTGAGTTGGACTAGAATTATGATACTGCATTGCTCGGTGAAGACCGCAGAGCATGAAAGTAATGCTAAACCGCACATGGATTGAAACAACTGAAGATGGCTTGACTTATGCACCTTGAAATGCAAGGTTCTGTCTAGAATAGTCCTCTACTAGCCACGGTGCTAACCTACGGAAGTGCGGAATTTGAAGTACATGAAACTGTCTACGTAAACATATGATGAAGTCCAGTTTGTTAGGAGTTCCGTTTGAGCAGACTGAAGAGGTAATATTCCTCTGCCTGCGTTTATGCTCGTTTCTAAAGGCTTCGTATGTAGCTACGCTTATGGACTGCCAACTCATTACTGCTTCCTGAACTTTCGCAACAAAATGGAAATATTCCCTTCAGTACCACCATCAGCAAAAACGCAGGTTCCAAAGTAGAGAGATTTAAGCATTCAGTACAGTGACGAAATTTCTTTTCGTTAACTCGCATCAGGCGAGTACATATGTAAAACTGATTAAAGCATCGCAATAGGCTATGTGAGCTCAGTTAGGGCTGGTCAATTTCAAACGTTAGTGCAAGCGCTACTGTTGCCGTGGCCATGATTTCATTGTGGATGCCGTTCACCTCGTTCACAGGCGACGACTCAGTTCTCCTTGTCATCTTAGCGGAAGGAGGAACTGTCATGTGCATGTGTGTGTGTGTGTGCCGGTGAGCGACTATCACCATCAAATGGAGGGTCTGAGAGACGAACAATGCAGCGTTTGAAAATGACCAACCCTAGACGAGCTTACATAGCCTGTTGAAATGCTTTAACCGGTTTTAGATGTGTTTCTCCACTGTACTGAATGTTTAAATCTCTCTACTTTGTAAGCTGCGTTTTTGTTGATGGTGGTACTGAAGGGAATATTTCCTTTTGGTTGCGAAAGTTCAAGAGACAGTAATCAGCTGGCAGTCCACAAGCGCAGCTACGTACGAACCCTATACAAACGAGTAAAAATGCACTATAGCATATCACAGCTGAAGCAGGCGAAGGAATATTACTTCTTCAGCCTACTCAGACGGAACTCCTACCCAACGGGACTCCATCCTGTGCTGCCTGGCACCACAAAAGGCAAAACAACACTCCCCAACAAATGCAACTGTCGGAAAGAGCCACAACGGCTTTGGACTCGACGTTGTCCACCAACGAACGGAAACAGTTTCAAAAAAACCTTCGTGATGAAAATAAACATAGCAAGAAGAAAACCACTGATGTGATCTACAAGAGCTGCTGTCGAAACGGTGACAAACACTACGTGGGACAGACAGGAAGAAAGGTTGACACAAGACCACACAAAAAACAGCCTATCATCTGCTGCCATGATCAGAACTCCAGTCAGTGAATTTGCAAGCTGAAGACTATCAATTCGACATGGGGCATGCCAAATTCCTCAGAAGGTTAAAAAGTCGCCAAGTGAGTTCACGGAAATCTGGCATTCAAAGTAGAACTCATCAATAAGCGCTTGAATCTAGAAGTCGCTTACGACGCTCTGCGAAGCACGCCCTTGAAATCGCGCTGACGACGTTGCCTAATTTTGCAACAAAACCTCTCCAAACAAATCATTCAGCTCGGAGAATAACGCAAAATCCGTACCACTAATCTGATCAGAACGTCTCACTCGCGATAAAAAGTTGGATCTACAACGGCGCTGGTAGTGCGGTGGAAACAGGCACTGGTCGATTCATGTGAATGAGACATCGGTGTTTGCACCTGCGAACAGGTATTTGTGGAAGATAGGTCGTGTGTGGCGGAATTTTCAGAGATTAGACCCAGCGTCGTAGATAGTGCAGGTTTTCCTTTTACTTACCTCGTTTCATCACACCAGTTGGGATGGCGTGGTAATCTTCCATGTATACCACGCGAGTGCTCTATCCGACCGCTCAGGATTGCGCTGGAAGAAACCGCACGGTGGTTAAACTAACACACAGCGACAAAAGATTAGGGCGCTGATTTCCTGTTGCTTTGTTGTCCATCACCCGCGCCTTAAGGATTGGGGATTAAAGTGGGAACACTACAAGCTCCAAACACTTGAGGTCATGATGCGCGACTGGGTTGAAGAGCAATGTGAAAGTGCTTTCCGAGTCTACTGCCCATATATATATATATATATATATATATATGAGATATGTACTTTCTTTCGTAATCAGGATTGCACAATCATGTAAATGCATTAAAACCACAGAACAACAGCAGCAGAATTCAAAAAGTTGTAAACAGACCCAACGGGTCGTCAATCAGCCAAACTGATGCTGGTGCGCTATGACAGACAGTAGATCAGGTTCCGGCTGTAGCCACACGCTCGCACAGGACAACTGCAATCCGTCCTGGGCAAGGTAGACTCGACGCGTGAGTGAACCTTTTCTGTTTGCATAGCGCTGGTTAGTACAACCGAATGGCGATGGCTTCTGCGGTATCTAAGATCCGCTTGCATAGATACTTTGATCGATTTTATGGGGCCTGAAAGATGACTGAATGAATCAGAGAACTTAGTGGCGTAACCCGTATCGGCAAGATGCACGGCGATGGCAGGGTTGGTGATCTTTCGACCTGCATTTCCGAGCCAGAATGGATAAGCACCTTGTCGTACGACCAACGTAGCCTGCTCCACAGGAACAAGTAAAGGAATAAACACACATTGATTTGGGCTGCTTGTGAACCGGATTTGCAGTCACGCCGCTGGGAAGGTACCCCTTAGTGTGGAGAGAGACGGCGGGATAGATTCTTTGCTACTATTTCCCTGTTTCGTCCCACATTGGCATTAAGAAAATGCTCTGGATAGCCATTCTCGTTAAGCGTCGATTGCATTCCCTATAACTCTTCGAAAAGAGTACCCCTCGAACAGATTCTTTAGACCCGGCTCACTAGACTGAGGACCAAGTTTCTCTTAATCCGAAGCGGCACAAAGCTATGAAAATTTGTGTACTGTCCGACTTAAGCGCACTTTCGATAAACGCGACAATGTAATGCACCATCATCAAGTCTTTCTATAACTACATCGTAAAAATAAAAAGCGCCGCTTTATTCTACTTCGTAGGTGAACTACATAGTCTTTTGAGCATGATTACATACGTTGATGAGCTCCTCGATGTGACTAGAGGTGCCAAGTAGGACGAAGATGTCATCTACGTGACGGTGCTGATAACCGCCTTCAATCTACCCTGTTCCAACATGCCGATTAAAACATCAGCGAGGAATGGTCCAAGCGGGGAACCCAACGCAACTCCATCGCGCTGACGGTATATATGCCCGTTGAATAGAAACTGAACATTAAATGTACACCTGAGCAGTAGTTCTTCCAGTGCCGGAGTTGGTATGCCAATAGTAAGATGGTTCTCGTCAACAAAGTTGCAAATGAACTCAATCGCTTCAAATAAAGGCACATTCGTGAACAGTGAGGTGACGTCAAGAGAGCACATAGTTTGGTTCGTGACGTTGACATCGCCCACGGCATCTACAAACTCAAACGTTTCCTTTAGGGTATGTACAGCGACCCGTTTACACACCGGCGCAAGAAGCTCAACCAGTCAACGAGCAATCGAGTGGTGCGGGGAGTTTCTTATGTGCAAAACCGTGCGAAGAGGACAGTTGGGCTTGTGGGTTTTGGAAAGGCCGTAGAGCTTTGGAATAGTCGTGCCTACGGGGCGTAGATTTACACAAACCGATTCAGTGATATAACCACCACCCTTAAGTGTTTTGAGACAGACGCACAGTTGATTTTCAATCTGCTTTGTTTGGTCTCGCTCACCAGTTATTTTCAAAAAGTTCATATTACCTGCTAATATTTCATCCGTCTTGTTAAGGTAGCCTGCTCAGTTTAGGATAACAATGCCGGCGCCATTGTCTGGACGAGTAAGCGGAATTTGGTCGTTGCTAAGCAGTCGCTATAGTGCATGCATAGGCTAATGTTTCACTGGGGTATCGTGCGATACCCGTGCACGCCGATATTGATAACAAGCATGCACCAACAGGGAGTTCAACTCTTCTGCATGCATTTCAGATTTTGGGATCAGTTGCGAAGTCAGTGTGTATAAGTTCTCGAACCGTGCTTTCATTGCCAGTCTGTTATCCTTTCTAGTAGGGAGGCAAGACTTCGGACCGAATGAAAAGACTTCAAGCGTGGTACGATCAAGCGGGAAACAAGACAGACCCCAAAAAAATCGAACAAAGTGTATATGCAAGCGGATATGAGACTCCATTCGATTGTACGAACCAGTGTCGTGAACGCAGAAAAGGTTCACTCACGCGTCGAGTCTACCTTGGCCGGGACGGATTGCAGTTGACCTGTGCGAGCGTGTGACTACAGTTGAGACCTGATGGACGGTTGGTAACAGCGCAGTAGAATCAATTTGGTTGATTTATGACCCGTCGGGTCTGTATACAAATTTTGATTTTCATGTAATTGTAAAAAGCCTTGTGATGAATTATCGAAAACATGTGCGCTTACAGAGACATTTGAACAATTAATGGTTTTTTTCAGCTGAGTTTAAAAAAGTTAACAGCTGGGATGAATTTGTAAGATTTCGTCAAAATCCTCCTAATCATCAGAAAAGGTAACATTCAAAAGTTCAGTGAAAGTAATGAGGCCATTCGCGGAACCGTTTGCTGTTAATATAATGATATATATATATATATATATATATATATATATATATCGCAGTGGCCAGCCCACAGGCATGTGAGCGCACAACGGTACCGAGAAGCGATAAGAATACAACACGCACTTAAATGAGACATCGGGTGTCTGTTGTTAGACATCAAATTAGCAACATACGATTTTATGATGCACCCAAAACTATGTGCTGCGGACAAAAAGGTGGAACTGGTGTAAAAGGAAAACAAATGTAGTCCGCAAGCGTACGTGAGGAGTAAGAGCACATTGAAAACGCATGTGAAAGGAACGCAGTTCGAAGGCAAAAAGCTTACGCCTGTCTCACTATGTTGCTTCGGAACAAGTTGCCCGCATCTGGTCGAAAAGAGCCGGAATTGGTGGGGTGCAATGGGAATAAGTTGTTTCGCGAAAAGGCCGTGGGAACGCCGCCAGCACATTTGGAATACAAGTTGTACAAGTCCAGACCAGACAGCGTGACCAGTATTGTGCTAACCTGACAAGAGCAACGCATGGGGGCAAGATGCAAAACAACTGCAACACCCGCACGGAAAAGCAATGGCAACATGCGGTTTTCACATCGTAAGTGATTAACGGTGCCACAAAATGATTAAATACTACTGAATAATCGTGAAGTGACAAAGTCAGCCTTGAATATCCCGCATGACATGTGAATAACACAATCATACCATAAAAGGCTTTCGAGGAGTGACAACCGCTCGATAATGTTGAGGTTTGAAGATGGGGACCTAGATGTCTTCACCAATGATGGAATGAAGCTAAAACTGGTTAGCACAGTTCGAATTCTTGAACTACCGACCTCAGTGGCGTTCCTGCTGTGAGTTTCTTTGTCTCTCTCCATCCCTTTTAGCCTCCCCCATCCAACCACGATCTCATTTCGTAGCATAATATAATTTTACATCATAATTTTTCTTGTTGCCTACTAGCTTTCCGGAACGATTCACATCCGTTGCTGGTAGCTCAGCTGACATGGAACTGTTGCGTTTCTTTTCTTTTTTTCTTTTATGTATTGTGGCACAGTAGCTGAGGTGTTTTACCTCCCTAGCTAACGTGTATAATGATGATGATTATGAATCCCTCTGTATACAGAGCCGCAGTGATCTATTGCTCTAAACGTCTCATGCGATTTCATGTCTGATCAAATCTGACACCAAGGCTTTATGGTCAACTGGAATTAGCTTGTTCGCAATTATGAGATGTACAGGCGTGTATAAGGCAGCGGTACTAAGGTCAGATCAGTAAACGAAACCGACTAAGCTGCTTTGGCTTGGATACGAGTTGGACCATACTTTGTTTACCTGACCCGAAAGGTTAAAATGGGGCCGTCGTTTAATTGGCAGAGTAAACCGAACTCTTCAGAGGCTAAAGTAGCGTTGGTCAGAGTACCCGGGAGCCACCATGCGACTTATCCGAGAGGTGAATAACGGTAAGCACCAATAGTAATTTGGTAGTTGGTTCCTAATTAAATCCTCTAACTAAAATATATCGGATGCAGAGTTGTCGCTGAGGAAACCCTGCTTATGGTGAGTGATAATGAAAACCAAAAGAGGCCGTCTCACAGATGTGCCTTCATCTTCGGTAACCGATTAATGCTGATCGCATGGTGTTGGTAAGGTAGGAACCGCGATCCTTAAATTCTGTTCAGCTTACACTTACATCAAGTCGCCAACCCGCACTTTTCTTGTTGCTGTTCACACGGTTGCATAGCATAAAACGCAGGTACAAAATACGGAGTTACTATTGTTCTCGCTGTTGCAGGGTAGGTGTTGCTAAACTGTGGATATCCACAGAAGAGTCCAACCAGAAATGATGCCCTCAACGAGTCCAAGAAAACATACGGATGTATTTTCGAGGAACACAACGGATGAATTCGATAGTTGATGCTGATCATTCTAGGTTCCTAATCGTCATAGCCAATCAATCAGGAAGTGAGCGCAGTGATGAAAATTAGGCATATGGAACCACTGTATTGCGGGTGTGTTTGTGCAGCTGGTACGTTGGTGTAAACATTCAGATGCCACGACCACAACAAATCTTGGTTTAGCTTTTATCAGCCTATTGAAATGATAAAACCTGTCTTTTATGCAACGGTTTGATGAGCGTTGTCCAAAATGCGTGAAAATACGGCCGTTAAGCGGATGGTGGCGAGCATCAATAACGAAGCAAGTATCTAAAGATATACCAGAAAGCTGTGAAGCGAGGTTATGTGCGACTGCTTGCTATGATATTGTAACGGTAAGCTCACAGCCATTCAGTAGACACCATGTATCTGCGCCGACTAAGGAGGTGTGTATTTAGGCCTATAACACGAGGTGCAAGATCTGTTGGAAGAGCTAGAGAAAAACATAATCGTATGGCCGGTTACGGAGCGCAGTACTGTGAGTCGGATAAACTAATTTGCTTCAGATAAGGTGATGATAGGCGGTCCTTTGGGTGAAAATGCCAGACGATGTGTAGGCACAGGGAGGAGACCAATATATCACTTATGAGTAGGAGGATCTTAGTTGTAATTTTAATGTATTCGTCACAGCAGCCCACAAGCCACATAGCACAGCTACAATCCGGAAAAGCACCAGACGCATTTCGCAATATTGGGGCTCGTCAGTTGTGCACATTCCCTCGGTCCCCTATTGGGGATCGAACCTATGAACGCTAGAAGCTGACGCAAACTAGCCAGCAGCGCTTAAGCCACTGAGCCATGGGGGACATCGGCTGGGTTACACAATTTGCAAGCTAACTGGGATGTAGTACGACCTATCGTTCACTGACACGCAGGTTACTACCTTAGCAGATGATAGTGGCTATTCTTCGAGGTCATGACTTCGTTCACTAGACACTGTTGGAAGTAGGAAAGGTTCCATTTTATATCGCTGCCGACGTAAGCTAACCACGATTGCATGAACCAGAAAGATGAATCAGAATTGGTACGACCAAAATGAAGGACAAAGGTGGAGCAGATTGATACGAACAGCCACGGACGAACGGAGCACGCATGTCAACGATCGCGCATTAACGACACAGGATGTGGAGGCGGTCGCTGTACGGAGCAAATGGTAACGGTGGTTAGCTAGTGTGGAGAAAGTGAAACTGTTTTCAACTAGGCGAGTTGACAAAAATCGCGCGGGCCAGACGGATAGTGGTCAGTTGACGCGGTTAAGCATGAGTCAATTTGAACATGGTCGTAGACAGAGAATAAGTGGATTGGGCTGACCAGAGCGGTTGAACAACGTGTAGTGATCAATGAACAAAGACGGCAAAAGATGGGAAAATGAAGTAAGACCAGCGAAAATCCATCGAAACGGTGCTTTGTTTTACTAATAGCATATCCTGATCGTTTCTCGGAATTTAATTTGGCTTTAGGAAGGCCACATGATATATAGGATTCCAGCAGGCAATATGACATAAGCCAACCCTATACCGAATCGCGGTACAACTGGTAGTGCGTGCGATAAGCTCTACGCACAGCAGCTAAAATATACAAATCAGAAATGAAAACTGAACTTCGCACAACTTCAAATTTGCAATTTGCGGAAAGGACAAGGGCGTTCGCGGACGACAAGAGCAGCTAGGGCATGGGAATATGAATGATCGGGTGGTAACCTCTAACAAGTCAATGAACGCCGGTAGTTCGATGCGGAGTTAAATAATAAGACACTGGTAACAAAGACAAGTGCATAAAAGGTTGGTCAGAGCTTAGCCGGATTGCATGCCCTAACTTGTGTCATGTCCACCATCTAACGACACATAAAAAACGACCTGACGAATCATTGTCTCATTAGCATTTCATTTTATATCTTGTGTTAGCCAGGGGAGTAGGAAGCGTAAGCAAACGGTGTGTTTGCAAAATTGAAACCAATAGATTTATATTTTTTCAAGCGAACATCTCAGCTCTTCTATACATGCTCATGGTGAATCCACCAAGACAGTTGTCATGTTACCGTGAATGTTTATTTTCTCGATAATTTCCATCCCACAAGACTTGCTTTTACGTGTAGTACACCGCTGTTTCATAGGTACGCGAGTGTGGAACCTTAATGCCGATAATATGAGCTAAGGACTGTGCGTGGAGATGATTCGTGTAGGAAGAAGTACCCTCTCGGTAAGGCTCCGTGAGACAGTGAGGGGGGCCTGAAAGCACTGCAACGTTTAATGTAGTAGCGGGAGCTGTAGAAGCATTTTCATTCAGGTTCGCAGTTAGGTCCATCGACATCACCAGTGTGATCCGACAGAATGGCTAGATCCGGCAATATTGACGGTGGTGAATGCAACAGTAGTGGGACAGTGGTCATGGCCAGAGAACTGTGTTTGTCGTAGGAAGTACCTCGGGAAAGCACATTTAGGATTGGAATGTTTTTGGCGTTGCCCGTACGCAGATTAGCTTCGGCCACTTCGCTACAGGATGCAGCTAGATGGGTCGAGCAGAACGGCGAATGGCGCTGGATGGTGAGAAACCCAAGAGTATTCTATAAGGCAGGCAGGAGCAAGTTTCAAAGTACCCAGGTATATGTATGAACTCACCGCAGATTGACAAGCCAGAGAATTGTTATCGGTGAACATGCATTTACTCGCGCATTGTGAACCACAACAAGCGGCCAAAGCAGAGTTCCACAGACTAGGAAAACAGGCGGAAAGCGGAGCAAGACTTGAAAAGCAAGGTTAAGGGGGCCGGAAAACGCAGTGGGTAATTTGCCAGATACTTATCTGATGGCTAAAAGCACCATCGTATCTCACATAATAATTAGTAAGAAGAATGATATCTGGAGGCGCTAGTGATTTATTCTAATACCTTGTGTAACGTAGACCTAGGAACTCGAAGAACGATGAAGTCGAAGTTGAGAAGTGAGAAACATATGAGCAACAAAGACTGGTTGCTGGAGTTCACATCGACGAAACACACCAACACGAAGTGAGTGGGATAGTAGGAAGGATTCATTCGTCACCAACGATATATAAATAAAAAAGGGCCAAAGCTAACTTCACATACCCCTGCAAACTACGCAGCTTTGACCGGTGCGCCAATAACATGATATTGGAATCAATCGAGTTGAAATATGGCACGAATACAAAGTCAAGCACAACGCAGTAAAGCAAAGTAAACAACATGATGAATTGGTGATTGTGTGAAAAACGGGTAGAGAGACATGCACTGGAACAAGTTTCTCGAGAAAACTGCTATCAAAGCCGTCGTAACAACAAAATGACATGCGGCAGTTGGCAGCTGCATAATTAAAGTGAAAACTGATTTTGTGCATCAAAAGCTTAATGATTCGTAGTAAGAACCGATGAAAGCAATTGCTAACACGCTCAGATATCACTCGGCTAGTGCGCCAACTACTTTTCACGAGCAATGCCTGCACATGTTTGGTGGGATCACCAACGTCACGTAGTGTCTGGCAAAAGGTGTTGGTGCCGCACTGAAATGTCTGTCGGACTCAAATCGCATCAGCGGCTGCTATGTGCTTCGCCATCGCTATAGGTCAAATACCTCCACGCAAATTGTTCGCCGATACTGCACCCAGCCGGGTGTTAACGCGGAATGGCCAAGCAATGACACAGCAGAAGAAAATTATGCAATCCAAGGACAACCTGAGTAAGGTTGGTGAACGCCGTCTATCTGGATGCAATCCTTACGATTGGCCATTTCAGTGGTTAGATACAAACACAAAGTGAATGGATCTCTCGCATCATTTCCATTGTTTTTGAATGTCAATAAATTCACTCGTTTCATTTATACTCCTCTCGGGTTAGTTAGAATTATCTGTACTTATTCGGGGACATGAGCCAAAAGTAAACGATGTTCGAATGATTATTGGTCAAAAAAGGTGTAGCAGAACACGCAGTGGGCTCCATCTGCACTTGAGGAGTATGTGGCAAAAGGTCACCCAGAGTAAGCACTGAATACATAAATGCAATTAAATTTAAACGCCAAAGCTTTGAATCTGATGAGTGGAGCATGAAAGAGCGTCGAAGTCAATATAGTGTAGGGTCAGGGAATGAGAAAGGGAACTCACCTTTCGTCAATGAGTCCATGGTAGTATATGAAGTACAACAGCGAGTTGTCGTTGAAACGGTAGCTGTTCAAACCATTCCCCACTGCGATGCCCTGAGTGCAATAACATGGACGCAGGTGTGTAGGTTTGGAATAAGACGAAAGAGAAATGGTTGCCTTTCCAAACATTAATTAAGTCATTGATCATAGACGATCCGATGACGGCTCAAGACAGCAAAAATAATGTGAAGAACTAGTTCCTCGGTCAAGCACAAGTGATGGACGAGACAATCGACAAAATTCAGAACGCACTGTAATTAGTCTGGCAAGGCTGTAAAAATTGAAAACAAAAACCACCAACCAAAATATGCGACTAGTCTGTTGGTTATTAGCATAAGGCATATCAGCCATCACCGCACCAGTCACTGGACTTACGAGAGATCGATGAACCTGTTGGAATCCAGAAGGAAACTCCAAGCTGGCTCTGAGCACAACGTGACCAGACGGACTATTAGGGCGTGAACTAAAGCGGAGCTTGCGCGCTGACAAGGAAGTCTGGTGAACTACTCGGGCCCAAGAAATGGAGGAGGCGGGAGCAGCAGGCAATTATCGCAAGCTCTTCCAGCTGATCCGCGCCACCGGTCCCAGGAAACCAGGCGTCACTGAGACAATCAGAGACAACGGGGTACTCTGATTCACAATAAGGAGCGCCGTACGGCTCGTTGAGCTCTACACTTTCAAAATCAGTTCAGTTGGCCCTTTGCTTCCGAACCTCTTCCTTATCAGGTGATGCAGGGTGAGCCATGGACGGTTATTTTAGAGGCTCCGTCAAAGGCTGAGGTTCGAAACGCGATCACAGCCCTCGATCGTTTTCGTACCACTGGCCCGGATTCCCTCCCACCTACACTATTTAAGGATGGAGGTGAGGTCCCCTGCAAAGCACTGATCTTCCTAGTCGAACGTGTATGAAATTACTAAACCGCCCCGGCTAACTGGAGTGAATCGACCTTAGTGGCAATATACAAGGGCAGTCGCACCGACTATGCTAACCACAGGGATATTGGCCTAACGCCCGTAGTGGAAAAAATACAGACTTCAATTCTCGTTCGCCGTCTCACTGCGGAACGGGAATCCCGGATTAGGAAAGAGCAGGCAGGTTTCCGCCCAGGACGGGGCTGTATAGACCATATATTCACTTTGCGGTAGGTGCTAAGGCAGCGCCACGCATAGCGCAGGCTGACAATAGCTGTGTTCATTGACTTCGAGAGTGCGTTCGATCCAGTCGATTGATGCATTTTGTTCAAAATACTTGCTCGGTAAGGTGTTCCCACGAAATATGTGAACATCTTAAGTTCTCTATACTCGAACACAACAGGCCACGTCATGGTTTACGCTGACCTGTTGAATAGATTTCCGCCCACAAGTGGCGTTCGTCAGGATTGTCCGATTTCCCCGTCCTTGTTCATTGTCGTCGTGGACTGCATCAGGGGGTGTTTCCTTGTGGATTCTCATGAAGCAGGCGTTGAGGTACTGGTTGGTGACAGGCAAGTTGATCATGATTACGCGGACGATATTGTCTTGCTTTTTAACGATGTTGGGGCGCGTAACTAACACTGAATAGCCTGTGTAGGGTGGTTCCATTATTTGGTATGCGCTTCACAGCTTCAAAGTGTTGCTACAGGACCACCAGCCACTTGATGATCCATTGGTTCTAAACAGGAAGGAACTCGAGGTAGATGATAAACTCACTTACCTTGGCAACTGTATCATTAACGATGGGTGCATAGCTACTAGGGTCAGTTTACCTATTTCAAAAGCCAGAACAGCCTTTTTGAATCTGTGTCATTTTTGGCGACAAAAAGGCCGTGTTTACAAGGTCACAATGAGGGCTGTGATGCTCTATGGGGGTGAGCCTTGGCTCCATCGGTCTGAAGATCTGAGGCGCCTTCAAGTCTTTGATCATCGCTGGTCTCGAGTGGCACCAACGTGTCCGCAACGATGATGTGCGTAGGCGAGTGCTAGGCAGTGATACTCAAAGTAGTTCCATGGAACAACAGATAGCACTGAATAAGTTGTGTTGGCTCGGACACGTACTATGTATGCCCTGTCACCGCTTACCGAGAAGGGGCTTACTTCGTCTGCCAGATGTAGGGTGGCGCAAAGCTTGAGTTGGCAGTGGGAAATGAAGTCACTGACGACCAAACTTGATGCCGTCGGTCCGTCTCCCCTTCCAGGCTGGAGTCCACGTCACCCGCCTTGTGTTTGGCTCGAGAGTTTATAGGACATGGCTCGCAATCGGCACCAGTGGCGCGTCTGCTGCCGTCTCCTAGTCGGACTGCTTGTTTAAGGTGTGTTTAATGCTGAGTTATCTGCGGGGTAATGACTGATTATGACGCGTGGCAGTGAAAGCCGTAAAGAAGCTGTCTCGCCGATGTTGTCTTACTTCTGCACCATAGCCAACTGTCTGTGATGGTATGTTGTTGACAAGGTGTAGGCGCCCTGACCCTGAATGTTTGCTTAGGGCATTAAGGCATTCCGGTAAGCCTCCCTTCTCTCCCGCTGCCAAATTACAGATCCTCCTGTAGTCTACGCGTGGAAGTGTTGTAACGCTTCTTCTTCACTGCTGTAACGCTTCTTCTTTACCTCTGCTCTCTGTCCAGACGACTGTCGTACTGCTGACAGCTGCCCCTTTAGACTGCGACTATCTGACTGATCAGTCACGCGCCCAGCCAACTGACGGAATACAAAAGGCCTGAATTAGGTAGACAGAGAGACGTATTGTGTAAGAGCATGGCGCAATAAATAGGTTGTGGACAACTACTAACATGATAATATTGGAGATGCTAATTGATGTTAATTAATACAACTCAAATGGCTCAAGTTCATGACCCAACTTGCCGCTGATTCCACATCAATTCGCATTTTGATCTGTACTCGAGTTCGATCTCTAGTTGTAGATCGATGCGCTTCCACGCCACTGCTCTCGGCTTGATCGCTGGCTGTAAGATTTCTCTCCTTAACAGGAAGTACTCCAGGTAATTAAGAATCCATGATCGAGTAAAGCATGTTCTGGGTTTATCGGAACGTTCACCGGCGGATGGAACAAACGAGAGCAGATTAGGTGTTCGTGATTCATAAGAACAATGTGAAAGAAATCCATCGCAATGAGGCTGGACCTTACCGTGGTGCGATGGTTTGCGTGCCTCAGAGATCCATTGAGCTATGCCTCGGGCCAGTCATGGACGCAAATCGATCATATCGTGTTCAGTTACCGCTGGAGAGGCTGTGTCCAAAACTGTCGCTCGATTTGGAGCACGAGTGTGGACTGTGACCACGCACTTGTATGTGCCGACCTCCTGGTGCGTTTCGGTGGACGTCCGCGACCTCGATGTGAACGGATTGACACTAGTCAGCTGGCGAAGCCAGATGTTCTGAATGTGTACCAAGATGCGCTGACATCTAGGCTGAGTAAGCGCCCACTAAACACCGTTGAAGATCACTGGTCGCATACTCGTCAAGCGTTGCTATTAGCAGGCATGTCTTCATGTGGCAAAACAAATTGCAAAACCGAACATTGGGTCTCTACACAGTCTTTGGAACTTATGGATGCTCGCCGACGTATTCCGGCTGGAAGCGAATACAATGAAGCTCGCAAAAATCTCAGCGCGAAACTACGTGCTAGCCAGCGGTGTGAGACAAGGATGCCCGCTGTCACCTTTCCTCTTCAACTTCGCTATTGATGAAGTCACGGAAACAGCGTTCGCTGGACACGACCTAGAAGGTGTGGAGCTACTTCCTGGTGAGCGACTTCTTGACTTGGAGTATGCAGATGATATTGCCCTCATCTGTGACAGCTCCCAAACATGCCAAACAGCACTGAACCGATTAGCACTGGCTGTCAATCGTTTTGGGCTATGCTTTGCTCCATCAAAATGCATAGTACTTCTCCAAGATTGGCAGGGACCCAACCCTGCGCTAACGCTTGGTGGTGATCTGCTAGAAGTCGTTCAGGAATTCAAGTACCTGGGCAGCTATATTAGCACCCGTGGGATTGAAGATGAGGTTACGAACCGTATAGCAAAAGCTCGAGGTGCTTTTGCCAATATCCGCCACCTGTAGCGCAGACGCGACATTACTCTCGCCCTCAAGGGCAGAGTTTACAACGCAGCCGTCCGTTCAACTCTCCTATATGGCTGTGAAACCTGGCCCATCAGGTCGACAGACATGAAGAGACTCGTCACGTTCGATCATCGCTGCCTTCGCATCTTAGCTCATGTCTGGTGGGAACACCGCGTGAGCAATGAGCATGTTCGACAACGCGTATTTGGTGCAGGAAGAGCGAGTGAACCGCTCAGCACCATTATATCACGCACCAGGCTCCGAGGGCTGGGCCACGTGTTGCGCATGCCAGCACACCGACTCCCACGACGTGCATTGTTTGCGCGTTGTGGGTGCGGTTGGAAGAGGAGGAGGGGAGGCCAAGTGATGACTTGGTCGAGAGAAATGAAAACCCTCACTTCGAAGTTGGCGTCGGTTGGTGCACTCCTACTGCCTGGCTGGGGTCCTAAGGACGGTGAACACGTTTGGTTGGACACATTTGCTGATATGGCTAGGAGCCGGCCCCAATGGCGTTTGTGTTGTGAGTTCCTTTGTCCATCCCCCTCCTGTTTAGCATCCCCCTCCAATCACGATCTCAATCGTTAGGCATAATATGACTTTCTTTTACGGCAGCCAGCTGTTAGCTCTCCGGAACGATGTCCATCCGTACTGGGGACTCAGCGGGCGTGCTACTGTTTGTTTGTTTGTTTTTCTTTTCTTGCCTTTTGTATTGCGGCACAATAGCTGAGGTGTTTTCCACCTCCAGCTAACGTGTAATGATGATGATAATGATGATGTGAAAGAAATCGTACTCTACTCCGGCGGACTGCATGGACGAAGATGGAGATGGTATCCGAGGTGTACGAAGAATCAGCGTTTAGATAAATGACTAAATGAGGCGGCCAGGGACCAAATCAAGTTAGCTGATTAATAGGTGATGCAGTCCTGATGGATTTGGCGGTTATGCAGAGTTCCGAATACTACGAGGTTCACCAAAATTCTGGCTGTCCGAGTCTCAAAATCTCAGGAAAAGCGAGAAGCATAAAAGTGACAACATACAACCACATGATTACGCGCACAAAATGGGTCGAGTCAATGTGAAGCGTGCAGTCTGGTTAACTTATCAGTTAATTTGCAAGGCTTAGATCAATGGAAGGGCAACGCGCCTCGCCAAGCTATGATTCAAGACGATATGTAAGCAAAGCTGGTATAGTCCCGCAAATACAGATCCGGATTACAAAATTATGCCACAGTAAACTAAGTGCCGATAATCGCAGGTGAACTAGGATAAGTACAAGCAACTGTAGTCAATCAAGTTTACAAGGGTCATTGATAACTGCTACGGCTTGAGGCTGAAAATACCCAAGCGACAGCCCAAAGGGTGCAAACAAGTAATCGGGCTGCAGGACCACGTTCGGACTGTAACTAAACCGAACAAGTGGCTCCAGTGCAGTACCCATAGAAAGTCTACATTGAAAGAGAAATATACTCATTGTGCCAGTTTCGTTCCACTCAGCCAGAAACAAAAACTCTTCGGTGCCTAACCGAGAGAACAAGAAAGATATGCAGCGATGACACTTTCGGAGGAATTAAATTTCATATGAAGCGTTTTCGAGAGGAATGGCTATCCGGAGAACTTGATTCGGAGAATTATGGAGCCTCGAGAACTGGTTTCAATGGAAAAGAAACTGGCCTACTTATCAGTACTATCCAAATGGGGATGGCGAAATCTACATCTAAAAAGCTTTCGAAGGTCATAGAGCAAAGCTACTGCGCGATAAGCTCAAGGTAAAGCTTCAGTTCAGTACCAATTCTGAACCGTCAACTTAAGGACAAGATCCAAAGGCCAAGTGCTTCATTCTGTTTATACTCATTCTCTTGTTTGTGCCGATCAAGATATAGCAGGACTATCAGGAGACTGTCAGAGGGAGACCGGGGGCATTGCCCAGGTTGGCTACATAGCGGAATGACTAGAGCAGTGGCAAACAGTGTCTGCGCAGTAAACCAAAGCGTATAAGAAGTTCCAACTTATCTACCGCATACCCAAATGTCACATACGACCGGTCAGATGTCGTCTATTGGCAGCGGTCGAGGCGATCGCCATTCGGCTCCATGATCCTAACCTATGTGCGTATAGGAAATTTGTCCGGGCATTCACTCGACTCTGGCTTTTGTAACGCTGACACAGTGAGAATAACACCACACACATAACGTTGATCGCTGTAGGACCAATCACCTAGCTTGATCACTCTGACCATCTTAGCCGTTAAAGTTGCACCCTTATCTGTTGTTAACGTTCACGTTATTCATTCGTTTGGTATCAGCCTGATGATAAACCACAGAAAACGAGCTTGTTCGCTAACAGATATTCTGTTGTCTACTTTTGGGATATGTTAGTTTCGCAAACTACCAAATCAGCACTCAATAATCGGTTTCGTGTATGAGTGCAGTGTTCAGGTACAAAGGGAAGAATCGCGACTCGAGATCGCAGCGTAGAAAACATGGATTAACAGGTTTGTCTGACCGACTTCAGCGGGTAATGCTTGTCAGTTATTTTCTAATCTGAGAATGTGAAGTACATGTAAACGTTTGCGGTGGCACGTATTTTAGTACGCAGTAGGGATAGGATAACGGAATGGTGTGGCTGCAAAGATATACTGGTCGCATATCCCAAGATCGGTTACTTGACATAAAATAGCCATTCAAGAACAGAAAATGGCCTAGATTTCTGATGGATATCAGGAGACCATATTATAAGCATCCGATTAGGAAGAAACTTCGCACCTAAACCCCTCAATAATAGATAACATCGAAAATAGGTGCTATCAACTGTAGGAAAAGGGGCTTCCAGACCAGGAAACAAGCACGATTCGACTATCCGAAAACTCCACATGATATGCTCTTTTAGATGCTAATGCAGGTTTGTGCATTAGTTGTCCTTACGCAGAAATGTTCTCTATACATTTGGTTAACTAAGTTTGTCAAATATTTCCGAATTTCGAAATTCAGTTAGACAACCCTCGCACGGAGCTCCAATTCTCTTTCGCCGAAGCCTGCTAACAATCGGTTAGAGGCCTGCGTAATTCTGTGGATAGCGGAAACAGCGACTAGCAAAGGAGGGCTATGGTGTGTTCGCGTGTTGCAACATTGGGCGCGTACCATACATGCAGGATGCAAACAAAAGTTTGATCCTGCTAATGCATCGTGGAAAAACATTTTTGAGACGCGGAGTCATGGCAGACAACTTCTGTCGTAACTTCCTCACACCAAGTTAATATATTCCATATAAGTGCACGCTACACCTTGACACAAATGATGTATAAATATCTTTTTGGTCCCTCTTTATCGGTCTGTAAAGGATACCATGGTGATCTTGTTCGAAGAGGCCTGGTCATGCAAATCTGAACAAAACTTTCCATTCCACTTCTCTATGCCACATGGGTCCTCTCACCTGACCATATTTGAATAGCTTCTCCTAGTTTTCCGAGCAGCTTAAGGTCGTTGTCTTGATCATGCATACTATGCAGGTGTGCCTCGCAACGTTGATAAGACGCAAGTTATTTGTGTAATTATTACGATAAATTTTTTGGCACATGTACCATTCCAGTTCCTGGTATGCTGTAATCTCAGCTGTGAAAGGTGCTGGAAACAAGTGCGCTCCTTGCTTCAGTGGACTTTTCTTGAAAACAAAACAAACAATGTCAATTAAATGGTTAAATGGTTAAACTAGCTTATCAGGTGGGTTTTAGCCTGACAAGCGTTCGCCAGGTAAAGGCCAAATACGTCCGTTTAGCAACATTTCTATGTGGCTGAGGTGACTCGACATTGAATAGTAATTGCCACTTCAGTGCAGAATTGTATTTCAGTAGCCTCATGCTGAAACTATGGGAAGGATTGTACCCCTGTTTAGTAACCGATCAACAGAAAGGCGTATGAACTGAGTATTCAGTTGCCAGCTCCCAATGTGTACGACTAGCTGACTACGCTCTGCTGCCTTGCAGGTGGGTTATTTCGCCGAAGAATTGAGTGGTGTCATTTTAGACAACTCCCTATATCACCTAAGGAAATCGAGTAGCATCGAGGCTTACGAAAAAATGTAGACCAAGTAATTATGATGGTCTGGATATCAGAAAAGCAAGGTGTTATTGAAGGTAAAAGGGATATATAAGGGAAATAAGCGCAAAAATAGAGCAATTCGCGCAGCTATCGCATGAAGACGCCGATATTCTTAAATGAGTAAACACCCACGAGTAATGAGCTAACCTTTAATATCAAATCCTTGGGTTTGCTTTTGAGAATGCGTGTAGCTAGCGAAGGTATATAAACTCCGCCATAACTTTCTCCAGTGATGTAAAAATCGCGTTTTTTGTAAGCGGGGAACTTCTCCAGGAAGTTCAGCAGTGCATGGTAAGTATTGAGTGAGGTCTGAAATAGACAAACGTTGGACTAGGTGAGGGCGGAGGGCCGTGGCACACAAAAGTTAATGCAGATAGATGTTGCTAGACAAGTTCCTGATGGGAAGAAAGCACGAAGTAGTGGTAGTAGATGGTGGTGGATGCCAACAGGCTGTGCCTGAGTCACGCATTGTGACAGTGCAACTCAAGTTCTTCTAGAGGACCGTGGTGATGCGATGAGACAGCTCACTGTGTGTCCACAATCATCATCAACATCATCATCACCACCACCACCATCACCATCACCACCACCACCATAATCATCATCATCATCATTGTACACGTCACCTGCAGGTGAAAAACACTTCAGCTATTGTGCCGCAATCCGAAAGACAAGAAAAAACAAAAGAGGCACGCCGGCTGTCCCCAGTAATGGATGGGCATCGTTCCGGAGAGCTAACGGCTAACAGAAAGTTATATTATGCCTAGCGAATGAGATCGTGGTTAGAGGAGGAGGCTAAGGAGGAGGGGTGGACAAAGGAACGCACAACACAAACGTCACTGAGGACGGCTCCAAGCCATATCAGAAAGTGTGTCCAACCAAACATGCTCATCATCGTTCTTAGGACTCCAGCCAGACAATCAGGATGCAGCAACCGAGGACGAATTCGAAGTGAGGGCCTGCCTTTCTCTCGAGCAAGTCATCGCTTGGCCTTCCCTAATCCTTCTCTTAAAACCGCATCCCCGGCGCGCAAACAATTTACATCGCTGGAGTCGGTGTGCTGGCATGCGCAACACGGGGCCCAGCCATCGAATGCTGGTGCGTGATATAATGGTGCTGAGCGGTTCACGAGCTCTTCCTGCAACAAACACGCGACGCTGAATACGCTCAATGCTCACACGGTGCTCACACCAGACATGAGCTAAGCTGCGAAGGCAGCGATGATCGAACGTGGCTAGCCACTTTATGTCTGTCGACCTGATGGGACAGGTTTCGCAACCGCATAAGAAGGTTGAACGGATGGCTGCATTATAAACCTTCTCCTTCAGGGCGATAGTGATGTCGCGTCTGCGCTACAGGTGGCGGATATTGGCAAAAGCATATCGAGCTTCTGCTATACGGTTCCTAATCTCAGCTTCGATCCCACGGGCGCTAACATAGCTGCGCAGGTACTTGAATTCCACAATCCGACGCGCACATCGATAGGTTAAACAACCGAGTATAATCTACAACTTCTTCCACGTATATTATTTCTTCCCCCGAATTCGACCTTCTGTGAACGTAACTGATGGTGCGCAGTTGAGATGTGAACACGTCGGCAATCCCCTCTTCATGTTGGTTTTCATTCTGTATTCGACTTTGCACCCTTAGTTTGAAAAGAAGTTAAATATTGACGAAAGCTCCAGTTTAGATTAGGATCCACAATTAAATTTATCTGTATAACATAAAGTGACCACTGCTTTTTGCAATAATCTCATCATTCCAATGATCTACCAAGAAAATTAGACCACTCACTGCGTTAGTGCATTTCGCAATAGACAAACTACGAGGTTTGGGCTCACCAGAAGTTAACTTATCATTCCATATCGTAATGTTCCCACACAACAATCAAACCCTACTAACCCCACTTTTCTCCCGATATGAGCCACTTTTTCTAATATGCATCGTCTGGACAACAAAGCATAAGCTTCCTACGCCGAAGTATTACGTAGATAGAAAAGAAACAGCATTATCTTAGAGTGTGAACCTCGAAGTCCACTTTCATCATTCCGTGTAGCAATGTATCATTTGAAATCCATGGCAGTAGACGTGTTGTTCTCTACCAACAGCATAATTAATAAGTAAATATATAAGTGAACAAGTAAGCGTGTCTGTCAAACCTAAGCCGTCTCCTGTAAGCAAGTACCTCGAGAATCCGAGCATCACCGTAAAGTAGCGACAAACGCACGCGGACCAATTAGGTTGGTGCGACTGGAAGACGAATTGCGGACACAAATGGAAGCACAACCGTAAGGCGGCTCATCGACTAGTAAATAAAATCAAGCAGAGCAAGTGGCGCATTCAGAAAGTCAGATTTTGAGACGTCGTAAATTTGCCCAAGCGAAAATCGCTCAACGGCCCGAACTTGAAAATGATGGCTGCCATCAAAAAGTTAGCAGATGCCAAATACGAGCGGAATACTGCTTGGCAGCCATTGCGGTGGCGGCTGGCCTGCCGGACTACCTCCTTATGGTACAAGCTCAGTGGATCGGGTTTATCTCGTTCTAAGGAATGGTATATATATATATATATATATATATATATATATATATATATATACATATATACAGATATACATATATATATATATACACGATGGAACCGCTCGATATATCTCACATCTCGCACGCTTCGCTGACGTATAGAAGAACGAACAGTACCACGGATTTGTACATTAACAGATTCGTGCCAACAGTAAGCCGATGGTAGTCCTACACTCGGTACTCTAGCTTCTCGAATGTCGCCGCTGCATTCGACACGCGAATACGCAGCTCAACGTGTAGCTGCTGATAAGTCGACATCACACTCCCAAGGTAGCTGAAACGGGAGGTGGTTTCCAATACTACAGCACCAATGCTGGTTCGCGGCAATATTGAAGATTGCACCTCCGGTGAAGGCTGAAAGAGACAGACAGTCTTTTGTGTTGATGGTGAGCCCGAATTTGGCCGCTGTCGAAGCCAGTGCACTAGTCATGTGCTGCAACTCATCCGTGCTGTGTGCAAACAACGCACAGTCGTCAGCGAACAGCAACATACGGATAGTTGTCTCACAGAGTAGAGTCCTCGCACCGAAACGACGGATGTTCAGCAACCCACCATCAATAAGGTGCTCCACACGAACACGGTAAGCACAAGTCGCATCAAAAGCACAAGACATCATTGTATGGAGATTTATATTGAACAGGGCAGGAGCTAAGACACAGCCTTGCTTCACACCAGAGACAGCTGCAAAGTCATCCGAGGTCTCTCCACTCAGCTGCACCCTCGCTCGCATACCACTGTGCAGACATTCAATTAAACTTACAAACTTACGCGGGCAATCAAACTTACCCAACACCAGCCACAATGCCTCGCGGTTCACCGTATCAAATCCTTAAGTGAAATCAACAAACAGCGAGTATAACAGCTGGTGTCGTTCTGTACACTACTCCTGCAAGTGACGAGCCGTAAACACCATATCCATAGTGCTACAACCCGAAAGGAATCCACATTGCTCTTCCGCCACGTTGGGTTCCACATCCTTAGTGGCGAGGCGGTTGAGCAGGATCCGGGCAATCATCTTGCTCACACAATTCAGCAAGCTGATGCCACGACAATTCGTACAACATTGCCTGCTCTTTTTGCCCTTGTACAGTGGTAGCACAGGGGAATCCTTCCGCTCAGGAGGCACCTCCTCCTCAATCCATACGCGTTGCACCAACTGGTGCAGCGCAGTTACCAACGCGGGTCCGCCGTGTTTCAATACTTCAGGCGGGATCCCGTCGGTCCCAGCACACCTGCCGTTTCGCAGCTGAGCAAGTGGTTTATGCGTCTCATCCAGTGTCGGCGTGTCCGCCAGATCCGCCTTCACACCGTGCTGCTTCAGGCAGTTCAAAGTAGGCCAATCGATCTCTGAATGGTTGTTCAAGAGACAGACAAAGTGTTTTCGCCAGATCTGCACTGTCTGTAGTGTGTTCAGGTAGCGACTGGGCTACCATCTATCAGTGTCCCCATCGGCTCCAATCTCGGTCCATACACCGCCTTCAAGGAATCAATGGATCCCTCGTGTTGGCGGCGTTCGGTGTAACATTCTATCTGCTTCGCCTTCTCCGGCCACCATGCATTCGTAATGCGACGGAGCTCGCGGGTCAGTCATCGTCGAATTCTGCCAAACTATCTCTTCTTCCCCAAATCACTGGGGTCTGCCACACGTGCAGTAAATGCTGCAAATTTCTCACACACCCATGAGACAATGGTCGCATTGTTCTCATCCAACCAATCAGGCCGCTTATAGTTTGCGCGCCCGACGGTCTCCTCGGCAGCAGCTGTCACCTGGTCGCGAATGTGGTGCCACAGGTCACCCACTGTAGCTATGCAGTCAACATCATACCGTCGTACGTCCATCGTCTTCTACAGCTAAATACGTTTTGCCACAGCACCGAGGGAGAGAATCTTACATTTACGCCGATTCAAGGTCGGGAGTATAATGCACAGATTGACGAATATATGTACAGTTTCGTCCGCACCAATTTGTGATCAGTGCCACACGCAGCACCACGCAGTACACGTGTCATGCGCACTTCATGCACATCACGCTGACGTACGATGACACAGTCGGGCAGGTGGGCGTAACCACTCAGTGGGTGCGTCCAAGTTGCTATATCACTCGCACTCAGTGCAACCAGAGTGTTCGTGATCGTCAGGCCGTGAGTGGCACACAGTGAGAACAGCCTGTCATCGTTCGCATTCGCTGAACCAATGTCATGCGGACCGATGAGATCTGTCCACACCGATGCATCATGCCCAATGAGCGCGTTGAAATCACCTAGCAGAAATAGTCTGTCACTCCTTGGCAGAGAGCGTATCACGCAGGATAGCTGAGTGTAGTATTGATGACACGTGTCATCAGGATAACACATGGTCGGATCATACGTGCTTATAACAGTGGCAAACTTACCTCTTCAGAGTCGTAGGCGAACAGTCATTAGTCGCGCGCTGATAGCTGTTGGTTCACTCACCAACTGGCAATTTAGGCGATCGGATATTGCAAATCCGACCCCATGTTCACGTGATGCTGAGGTGGCATTGGCACCCAGTAAATTGCGTAGCTAGCACCTGCATCATGCAATGTACCTTGCTAAGCGAGCCGAGTCACACTGAGCGCCGCAATATCAATGTGGTAGCGCACCAGTTAAATCGTGAACAGTGAAGTACGTCGTTCAAGGCACACTTCACTCGAGTTCCCGTCGTCGTGTGTGCACGTTCCAGCACCCGATGAAGAGTGCTTGGCGC